TATTATGGAAAAAAAAAAAAAAAAAAAAAAAAAACGTGTCGTCGAGGGAAGTATTATGAACAGATATATTGGTTACATTCCCCAAATGGTGAAAGGAAAACGGCGGTGCTTCTCCAACTAAAAATAATAGTATAAAATTTCCCCGCTACAAAATGGTGGGTATTTATTAAAGGTCGCCCCGACAGCGCCTCCTCAAATTGCGTACCTGCAATATTTTTGCGAACCTTCGCGGGGCACCTTTTGCCAAAAAGTGGGGGCAACAACAGCAAACAAAAAAATGATGTTGCCTTCGAAAAAAAAAAAATAAATAAATAAAAATAAAAAAGTGCAGCAGCGCACAAATTAAGGGTTACCCGTCCAACTGAGACACGCAAACGTTTGTTTGTACAAACCGCGTAAGGATAAATAAAACAGGCACATAAATTAGGGGTGATATTTTTGTACAATTGCTTCGATAATATACTTACTACAGTTGAGGCACTATGTAAGGCTGCGGCTACTTCCCCTTCACGAATCCCCTATTTATATATAAAGTACAGACTGGTAGCATTTAAAAATGGTGGATTGGATCTACGGCAACGGCAAGCTAATTTTGTTCATTTTTTTTTAATTTTTTTTTTTGTTTTTGATTCATGCGATTGGGCGCCCCTAACCGGAAGCAACAACGCAGGACGTAAAAAATGAAATTCAACAAGAGGAAGAAATCCTGCAAGATAAAGAAGAAGAACTATGGAGGCAGGAAAGAGAAGGAGGGTTATAACTCCGAGATAGAGTCCGACGACATACTGTCCTCGGAGGCATCGGACACTGGGAACCATAGAACGAAACTGGGGAAGAACAAAAAGCGCCACGTCGCATCGGTTGATGGGCGCACCACAGATGACGACGCAACAGGTGGCGATGCAAGTGACTTTGATGAGGATGGTACCAGTGGGGACGAAAATGGAAACGCTTTCAATAACCCGGAGGAGAGGAAAATACACCTGGCCAAAAAATACCTCAGAGATATGGGTATACAAAGTAGCGATGATGACAAGTCCCAAAGTGATTCCCCTGAGAACAGTGATGAGGAAGACAAGTCGGATTCGAATTTTAGCGACAACCTTTGTTCCTATGGAAATGATGAACAGAGGGAACAAATCAGTAAACTCATGATGCAAAAGGAGAGACAAAAGAGCAGGAGAGCGCTCCTAAATTTGGGAAATAAAATCAAAATTGTTCATGACCAGAAATTGGCTTCTTCCAAGGGGATTGCCAAGAATGGGTCAACTTGCATGAACCGTTCAGGTGAAAATGGCCAAAGCGATCAAACTAACCTACATGACGAACATGCTTTTTTTTTCCGCGGACACAAAAAAAGCGTCACGTGCGTTGCTTGCCCAGATTTTAACCTTTCCTTCTTTGACTACTACGAGTACGATGTGGGAATTGGCGCGTGCGGTGAGCGTGACACCTACGCAGGGTACAACAGCGGGAAGTTTTACAAAGAGGACAATTCCAGGAGCAGCCAGCAGGGGGGAAGCGACCCCTTTGGAGATAACCCCCAACATGCCATGCAGCCGAAGATGTTCCCCAATGTTTCCCTCAGCACGGCCTACACGGGTGGAAAAGACGCCTGCATCATCGAGTGGGATTTAGCTAGAGGAGAAAAGGTTCACATTTATAAAGGAAACCCTAGCGCCTTCCAACATTTCGGAAAGAGCGACGGAATAAGCCATTTCAAGAGTGTAATGGATTTGTATTGTGACAAATTTAATTCCTTCTTCATATCTGTTGGAGCGGACAATTTAATAAACACATGGGACAACAGAGTGAAGAAAACATGCACCCATTCTGTAGTTGGACACAAAAATGTCATTAGCGCAATTATTGGAAGCAATGAAAACACAGATGAGTTAAATATGGAATTTAATTTCTTCACGTCCTCCTACGATAAATCGATTAAATTATGGGACTTGCGATTTTTGGACAAATGTATTAATACTTATATGGGACATACGAATAACATTTTAAGCATGACTTCTTTAGCCCAGAATAAATTAATAACCAGTTCGAGTGATTATACTCTCCGTTTTTGGAACACCAAAAATGACAACCATATTTTGTTTAATTTAAATTACGAAATTGTGGAGTCCTGCTGTTCCCTTAACAACAGGGTCTTCATCGCCGGGACGTTTTCTGGCCATATTTACATTTTTTCATCCTCTTATAAGAAGCCTATTTGTATTTGCAAAAATGCACACAGTTCGTACGCAGTGACGGCGTTGGTTAGCATCCCGTTTACGGACATTTTCATTTCCGGGTCCTACGATGGGTACGTAAATTTTTGGCAGTACAAGAGCGTTAGCAAAACGTCGGCTACCATGCGGAAGATCCTTGCCGTTCCGGTGAATGGCGCGATAAGCAAATTTTCCTTTTCGCCCAACTACGCCTATTTGTTTGCCGCCGTGGGGGACGAGATGAAACATGGCAAGTGGACGCGCACGAACAGCAAGTACGGGCTGGCCGTCATTCCCCTGTGCTTTTTGCGCTGAGGGGTGGCGTCAGCTGTGCATGCTGTGCGTCGTGTTTGGTCATTTCTTTGTGACACCTTTTGGATTATTTTCCCAAACTTGCCTAGTCTTTTCTCACCCGGCTGTTTTCATTTTTTTACCTGACTATTCTCTTTTTTACCTGACTATTTTTTTTTTTTTTTTTTTTTTTTTTTTGCTTGACATTTTGCACAAAAATGGCTAGCTGCGTGTGCAACTTTGACAAACAGTTCCCCTCCACTTTTTAAAAAGATATTTATTTTACCTCCACAGTTGCTTCGCCCGTTCGTGGAATTTTACTTTCCCCCGCGATGGACAAGCGAAAGGTTAAGTCTAGCATGGGGGCAACTTAATGCCGCAGAGTGTATCCCTTTGTCTTCTTCTGTCCTTTTGCCTTTCCTCTCTTTTTACTTTTCCCGTTCCCAACTTGTGTGCACAGCTATTCGATCATTCCCGGATCCATCACGTTGAAAAATGTCGCACTGCGCAGTACACCACTGCGTTATGATACGAGTCTCTAATTTTTTTTTTTTGGTCGCAAGTGCTGTATTTAGCAGTTTTAACAATTTCGAGAGACAGTGTACCTTTCCCCCTGTTGATCATCCCCTGTACTTGTGATGAACTTGGATGACTGCCCTACCATGGTTGTTGCCTTACATTTCATGGGTATATCCCCTGAGAGCAGCTTTGCAAAGGTTTCTACGCGACAGTTGTGCATCTCACCATTTGACTAGCCCCAATGCGAGGAGGGAACACAAACAGACGGGAGTTGTCATGAAAAGGGGGCCACCTTTGTCAACGCACGCGTATCGTTACTGCGTCGTGCAATGTGACATGCAAAGTGGATGGTACCTTTTGTGTACGCACCGATAGGATGTGTTTGCATAGGGAGAAGTTTTCGCTTCGCCACCTGGTCAGCTTTTCACATCGCATGTGATACTGGCATACCTCTTAACTTGGGGTGTGTATATCAAGGAGGGAGGGGCACTTCTAGGGGGTACATAGCTTGTGCAGCTTTGTTCAAGAGGAGAGCATGGGCCTTCCCCTTTAGCTGCATGTGAAGGCCCTCGGGGAGGAAAAAAGAAACTTGTGGGGACTGCCGCTCATCATTCCTCGGCTTGTCCGTTCGCAATTCGAGCGTTTCTGCATATGCAATTGTTTCCCTATCGTGGCGCTATGTTTTGTATGTTTTTACCCTGTGGGCCATGCCTCGTCTTCTTGCGCCCCGAACTGAAGAGCCGCCTGCGTCCACATTACGAGCACCTGAACAATGTGCAATCTTTGCAAACCATCAAATGAGGGAAGAGTTTTTTCTCCAATGAATCTCCATGTGTTACGGAGCGCGCAAGGGGAACACGGCGCCCTTGGCAAGCAGCCTCTTTTTTTTTTTTTTTTTTTTTTTTTTTTTTTTGCGCGTATCCGACCTCCTTTCGCTGATTATTTATTTTTTTTTCTCCGTAATTATTTTTCGCACTGCCATAACCTTTGGTACGAAATGGCGATACGAAGCAGTATCATCAGCACTATCGGAGCGGAGGCATTTTTAATATCTCCTGTGTATACCCTCCCTCATGCTGCATTACCGCCTATGCGTCATTTTGTTAAAGACCGGATGTATTTTTTTTTTTTTTTTTTTTTTTTTTTTTTCCCCCTGGAAATAGATTACATAACCACACGCTGACTAACACAATGCCCTTTTTTTTTGTGAGAACATAAAAGGGGATTGAGCGCACCGTGCCGTGGGAAATTTCTTCGCACGAGAAAGGGCACGTGGCGCAATTCGCAACTGCTCGACAGCGTAATTCCGCCTGAACACGTAGCATTTACAGGTACGTGCTCCCTCCCCCCTCCCCCCTCCACGCTGGAAAACTTGGGGCTGAGCGAAGTGTTGCACCCGAGGCAAATACAAAAAGCAAGGGTTGACACAATGAGCAAGAAGTATGTGTACTGGGAGAAGCAGGGCAACGACCGGATGTGCGGTCTGCACTGCATAAACGCCATGCTGCAGGTAAGAAAGGGGAGCGGCCTAGAGATAGAGCGGCACCCGGTGGGGCATCCTACGAACGCTCCACCCGCCAAACCGCTCCACCCGCCAAATGGCTCCACACACATACCCCTGTGCAGGGCCCTCACTACAGCGAAGACGTCCTGGCCAGCATCGGCAGAGAAATCGACGAGAAGGAACGGGAGTTCCTCAAGTGCAGCGGAGGAGCTGGAGAGAGCGGTATGAATGACCTGATGAGAAAAAATTCCTCTAATGTCTTGGACGACGGATTCATAAACATTTCAGTCCTCATTGAATGTCTGAGGAGAAAAAACATTTCTGTAAAAAATACCTTCCAGGACGATTTAAAAAAAATTATTTCAAGTGACCACCAAGACATAGGATTCATTTGTAACCTGGCGCAACATTGGTTCTGTATAAGAAAAATATACAACACTTGGTATGTCCTCGACAGCTTGAAGAGTGGCCCCCTGTACATAAAGGATATTAATTTGAAATATTATTTCAACGACATTATTAATAAGTACCATGTGTTTTCTGTTCAGAACATCAATCCCTATGTGTCTTTGCCCAAGGCGGACATAAACTTTGAGGCGAAAAATGCTAACCAGTTTTATTTATTAACAAGTGAAATTTGTGAAATATCTGGTGTGTCTTCTAATGGGTTTATAATGGAGGAAAGGGTTAATTCTGGTAACCGTGGTGAGAAAAATTCTTTTTTTGCCTCTAGCGCTCATGACAAACCTAATAAGTTTAAGTGGCCGGAGGGTGGGGGACGCAAGTTGAATGACCAAGGGTGGAACGATCTGACCGGTGTTGGTGGTGGAGGAGGAGGCCTGTTCCCCTCCGCTCCTCACGACGCAGACGACGAATTGCAGATGGCTCTGTTGCTGTCCATGGAGGAGTACGCTAAGGTGGGTAACACGCAGGGAGCTCATGAGGGTAGAACTCTGCATGTGGTGTAGTTTGCATGTGCGTTTATCATTTTGCACAGTGTGCGCATGTACATATACATATACACGTACACGTGCTAATGAAGTGCCACATGAATGAAATGCACTTCCTGGTTTCACCCCCTCCTCTTCTGCGCAGAATTTGCCCCCACCACCATCAGAAGAACCCGCGGGCGAAAACTGCATTAACTTTATGGTTAAAATTTCCAATAGGAAAATCCACAGGCGCTTCTGCAACACGAAGACGTTGACGGTAGGCCAGGGATTGGTGAAGCGGTGAAATGACGATGCGGTGGCCCTCATGTATGTACGTGTAGGAATATAACTTGGTACGCATTTCCCCTCTTTCATTCTTTTGTCACCCCGCAGGACGTCTTCTACTGGCTTGAGTACGAGTCGGTCAGCAATAAGGAGTTCGGCCCCTCTTTGCTCCTCAGGAGCAGCTACAACCTTCATCAAATATACCCCAGGTAAGTGCATGAGGGGAGGAGTAGGAGGCACTTGGGCGAAGGTGCAAGTAATGCAGCTCTTCAGGTTTTACACATCGAGCATGCACATACACGTATATATATTTGCTGTTCACCAACTGACCATTCGCAGGAGGAAGTTTTGCAAGTACCAGAATGGTACCATTGAGCTGCATACAGGGGGCAAGGTAAACGAGAGGGGTACATTTGTAAAACAGTGGCTCCGAGCAAACACTCTACAGGGTTATACGTAAGCACATACGTATAGTCGTGTGCATGCCAAATCAATAAGAATTCTTTTGTGACTCCCCGCAGGTGGAACAGGTGCAGGACACTCCCCTGGTGGACTTGAAGTTCGAAAAGGAGGAGACGTTTATATTGTGTTAGGATGACCAAACGAAAAGAGAAAAAAAAATATATTAGAATGGAGAGAACACAATTGAGATTGCCCATTGATGAATGGCAACTGATGAGGGAAAAATGAAGAGGGGATGAACGTAAGCCGGTCCATTTGAGCCCAATTAGCCTTTTTTTTGTTTCTTCTTCCCCCGATTTTTTTGTGTACATTTAGCGCTCGCATTTTGTTTGTTCTTCACCCCCTTGATATTCGACTTCGCGAGCCGATTGATCCCCCCTATACACACACACATGCACGTACACCGCGTTTCACTTTCTTTCAATTGAGTTCGCCAATTTTTTTTTTTTTAAACGTAACTGTTAAGTAGCATTCGTGGGCCCAAAGAGTTGTCTCCTTTCGGTCCATGCCCGCACCGTATGGTCTGCTCGACCAGGGGCTCTTTTTAAAAGAATTGACTTCTGTACCCAAATGGACTTTTTTTTTTTTTGCTTCATTTTCACGGGGTGGCAGTGATGTTTCGTTCGTGTAGCACGTTGCGTGGATGTAGACCTGCAAGGCACATGCACACGCAGAGTGTCAAGGATAGGCGCACAATGTAAATCGCCGCCCATGTCATAAGGGGAAGGGGCATGTATCGGTATCGTTCCATCCCCGCACCGACGAATGAATATAATATGTGACTCACACCTCTTTTAATGCTTGTTACAATGTTTTATGGTTTTTTTTAAAAAAAAAAAAAAAAGGGGTCACTGCGCAAATCGTGTTAGACAACGTCGCGCTTCGGAGACAGACTCACAATTGGGGTGCATGCGATGTGCAGAGTTCGCAGCAGGTCCCGTCAAAATTTTACTTCGCTCCTACATATATACAGGTGCGCAACAAGGGGTGCCGTGCATACTTCACGCATAGGCACTTCAATGCAACCTTTTAAATGTTTGCACAAAGTATGGGTACAAAAATTAGGGCGCGTGGACGGAGAGAGAGGGTAAAGAGCACCGCGTGCACACTTTTTTTTTTACCTTTCTACTGGCTATTTTTCGCGTGGTCTGGTGTACTTCTACCACTTTGAATGCTCCCCCTGGTAAAGACAATTTGCAGGTGTCTGTTTGCTGAAGAGGCAACGATCCATCCTTGTGAAATTAATTGCCCATAATATTTTGTTCGAATATTTTTACGACGTTGGGTTCATTTACGTTGGGGTATGGCTTGGACTCCTTACCTGGGCTCTCATTTTCACCTGTGTTATTGTGCGCTTGCGTTAGTGGTGCCTGTTCGTTGGGCTTCTGCTGACATCCCGCCTCTGTGCCCTGTTTGTTTCCCGTGTGGGCTATTTGGCTCGCGTCCATCTCGTACGTGGTCTCTGCTTGGCCGCTGCTTGCCGCTTGGCCGCTATTCGGCTCTGCCTTTTTTACGCTGGTTATTGGTTCCTTGGCCAACTCCACTTTAGGTATGTTGCTCCCCTGTGATGCGAGGTAACTCTGCGGGTAGCGCAGCTCCCAGGGGTAGAAAGACACGGCGTTTTCAAACTCCTCATTTATGCTGTTCAGATTTTTGACGATGTCTACGAGAGTTTTAACACCATAAGCAGCATGGGCAATTCCTGCTCCTCCAAGGAAGAGTAAATTTGTAATAAGATTTAGTTGCTTGAGTTCACTTTTTCTTTCTTCCTCTTCTTTCTCACTCGACTCGTAGGACCTTATAATTCGTTTGTGGAGCCTTGGAGTGCTCATTGAAACTCGATTATGCGTGTTAGTTAAGTACTCGTCGGTTGATTTATGCATTGAGGAAGAAGTGTAAACCAAGCCATGAGCTACACTCATGCCAAGGTAAGCTGAAAGGAACAATGCATTAGCTAAGGTAAGTGTGTGTGACTTCCCCCAACCTGGGCAGTTAAATATAAGTGACCCATTATTACCACCCCCATTTGCTGTCCTCTCCAGTTCACAAAAATTTCCTTTTTTACATTCTCTAACAGCTAAATGGAAATCGTACACTTCGAAAAAGGATGTTAGAGGAATGGGCCAGATGAAAGACTTTTCATTGTTGAGTAAAACATTTACTTTATCGATTATGGTTACTTGAAATATTCGTCCAAAGTTAGAGAGTGGGCACTTGTAGAAGTCTATGCTTACACGTACTTTCCATGGGCCTGACACGAACTGAACCGGATTCAATGTCTTTGGCACGAGCAAAGCACTTGTGTCTTTCTTTGTGCATACAATATAACCTTTAAAATTGGGAGGCAATGCATCCAAGGTGATAAACCCTGATCGTTTTGAAGGTGCCATCCCGGCCCCTGGCTGTTTCTTTGTCTTCATCTTCATTAATGGGATTACAGAGAGTAGCTTATCATCAGGAGGTATATTTTTACTGCGTAGTGTCAACTCGTGATAAGATGCATCTTCTGCATGTTTTAACAACTTTTGATTCACCACAGTTACTTCCATAATTTGGTTATTGGAGTTGCACACAACTTTATTATCTTCGATACGTAGGTCGATGGGTTGGAACCCCTGACGTTGCACCAGGGACAAGTCTACCCATCCATTTGAATCATATTTTTTTTTACTTGCAATGTAGTTAATTAATTTGTTCCTTAACTCTTGCAAAAAAGTTTCTTCCTTTTTTGCTCCTTTTTTTTTTCCTTTCACAATTGTTGGTGCCCAACATAGTAGGGCACACGCGAGTAGGAGGAAGACCGCCACTCGTACAGGGGGCAACATTTTTTTTTTTTTTTTTTTTTCGTATGCTGTTATTGGTGTTAGAGGCTCTCTGTCCTAGCAACACCTCCTTTGGGCGAAGAAATGGATGCACCTTTAGTGGGCAACCAGGGGTGTACTTTTCTTCTCTATGCGTGCCTCTTTTTTTGTTGGACTTATTATATAAACCACCCGGTGAGGAAGTCTGCGGCTTTGACTGCGGCTAGTATTTTTTTTTTTATTTACTTAAAAGGGAGAGAGGAGAAAAATGACAGAAAAGAAAAAAATACAAAAAGACTTGTGGTGGTAGATCAATACAAAAGATCTAACTGAAATATTTAACATAAAAAAGGGGGAAGGTGGCAGGTTTAAACCGGGATTCCGTTGTTAAGATAAAAAAAAAAAAAAAAAAGGGGAGGTTGACAAAATGTGGTTGAAATTGGCGATGCAAACAAAATGGAGTGCCTATCGAGGTATCGATGAGAAAAATGGGCAGGCAAAACTGTTGAGCAAGGCCACTACACATATAGCCAAGTGGAGCGCACGATAAACAGGGGGGGATTCCTACAGGCTGAACAGTCACCGCTTCCAGCTTTTCGCTAAAAGGGCATGCACACTTGTCGCTTCCAGCTTTTCGCTAAAACGGCATGCACACTTGTCGCTGCCAGCTGTTCGCTAAAAGGCACGCACAATTGTGTCACTGCCAGACGTGGACACAGCTTTTCCTTTAAGGAAGCTCTGTTCAAACGATTGGCTCATTTTTTAAGCGGCCACTTTTTTAGGGGAAACTTCTCTATATAAGCCTCAAAGTGGTCATATCAGAATAATGGGGAGGGTGCAAAAACGAAAAAGGCTTGCCGCGAATTGAGGCCTCTATCTTAGTGGACTCATAAGAGTACCCCCCCCGCAAAAGGTGCGTACGAAAGTTCGTACGGAAGTTCGTATGAAAGGTGCGTATAAAAGGTGCATACGAAAGGTGCCAAGCGCGGAAACGGTTTGACACACGTTCACTTATACACATGTATGCTCACTTTTGCGCATGTGCCCACTTGCATACATGCAAAAAAAAAAAAAATGTACACAAAATAATTTACCGAAAAGGTGCACTTGAACAATTCGACGACGGAAGAATTATGGATGATTCTTTTTTTTTTTTTGTTTCTTTTTCTTTTGCCCATTCTCGATCTTTAAACCGATTTTTAACCCTCCTTGGGGATTTTTTTTTAATGTGTGTTGTAAAAAAAAAAAAAAAAAAAAAAAATTCCCAAAGCTTATTGCATGCATTCGGGCATTATTGCTTATTGGACGTAGAGCACTTCGACCATACGCATGCTCTAGAAAAAGTGAAGCAAAGGAAATGCACCAGGGTAGGGGGATTGCTTCAGTGGAGTAATGGGGTGTACGAACAAACGCGAGCACCTCTTTCACCTTATGCACGAACAAGGGATAATTGCCTTAATTTTTCTCTGGCTCCCCGACACACCCGGTTATTTAGCTGGACATGTGCTCAGTTGGGGATTCTCTCCCAGCGCAAGTGCAGTGCACTCTTAACCGTTTTTGCTCACAGGACAAATGAGCCAAAAAGGCACACACAGTTATCTGTATAATGCATAGGCACAAAATACACTAGAGAGAAAAGATGACAAGAATAAAGCACGCGTAATGGTCATGCCGACCAAAAATAAAAACTACTGCAATGGATGCGAGAGGGGACGAATACTGCTACAAGCTTGGAGTGAATCAAAAGAAGGAATGAAATCACAATCATTTTATTTATTTAGGTTTTTTTTTTTTTTTTTTTTCTGTACTCCCACCTGAACACATTAATATTATGTGACCTTTATTTCCGTGTGCACTTTTAAGGAAAAAACAAATATTATTGACAAAGCCAAAACATAATGACAAAGTTCTCATGCACACAACTTCATATTTGAACATTTTCCTTTATAGGTGCCGCGCGAGGGAGCGAATCATCTTTCGTGAGCACGCTTGTTATTCCCCTCCCTAGTTTAGCACGACATTTTATAGGGAAAGGGTTAAAAAAAAAACAGTTCAAGATGAAGCGAGGACCAACTCGCTTAATGCAACGTACTTCATGACATTATCAAAATTGCGCTTTGTTTATTTTAACAAGATGAAATACATCGAAGGTGGTAGAAACCCATGCCACATTCTCGTTTGTGTGTAAAAGTTAAAATTGTATGACCAGTTCAGGTGAAAATGCAGAAAAAAAAAAAATTCAAACAAGGGACACGAAAACTAATTGTAATTGCTAGCTAGCTAAAAAATATTCAACTGCTTAAAAACAAACTTTACTCATTACTCATTGTATACAAGAAAACACTGCCGCCGAGTATGTCTCTAAACGGGAGATACACAAAAACAAACACATGATCAAAAACGGAGTGGTAGACATGGCGGAATAGTTAAGCCAAACGGGACTGTGCCGAACGTGGTCTGTGAAGAATCGCCTGAACGGTTACTAAAAAAAAAAATAAAATAAATAAATACCTTCCGTGTGTACACATCCCGTGTGTTGATATTTCTCCCCCAACGGTAAAGCCGCTATCCGTTGTTGAGTCGTCGTATCAGTAGGCCCCTTTTCCCAATCTGTCACGTCCTTTTCAAATACTTCTCCATCAAACGGAGAAACGTGTTGTAGTCAACGGCTTCGCCCGAATTGGCCACACCAAAATTGAATTTACTCAAGCTCAATGATGAGTCCTCTGCGGTGGTGTTTCTTTTGCAAAGGTCTATGAACTTCCCCAACTCAGTTTTTCCAATTTTTCCGTTGGACTCAATGCAACTGAACAGGTCCTTAAATATGATCTGCAAGTCATGCTTCTTTAATTGTCTGTTTATGAGTATATGCAAAATGGAGGGCGTCAACACGAAGTTCTCCACGTAATTGGGCCTATTCCACTGTATACTTTCTTTCACATGTTTTATCAACTCACGCACACTTTCATGGCTCATGTTTTGCGAAAGGATTTTGTTAAAAATTGCGTTAACGTCCTCTTCGCACAGTTCTCCGTCGTCATTTTTTGTGAAATACGCCAGTGCGCGAATCAGGTACTGCACGTCGATTTCCATGTTGCTGCTTTGTTTTACGCGTTACTTTTTCTGCAAAATATGAGGACAAAGTCTCGGCGCACGCTTTCTGTGTCTGCTGTCCACGCTTTGTCTGCTTTGTGGACAGGTGAAGGTCCCCCCCGTAATCCGTTCACCTCAACGAGAATACTTAAGAGGGGAGGAACTGCAACGATGAGGGAATGATCCAACCAAATTGAATAGGACCTCTATGCCGTATCCTACTGAGGCCCCATCAACGGTGAGCAGTGCGTTTTTTCGGTACACCCCTTGCAGTGACAAATGGGGGGATACACGTTTTGCACTTTTCAAGGAACATTTAACTTTTTTTTTTTTTTTTTTTTACTTCCAAGGTGTAACATGAACAGAAAATGAGAGAAAAATTAAATAGCCCCCTTTAAATGTAAACCCAGTTGCTTTTTCGTTCGGTTAATCTTTTCCTTGTTATATTTTTTTTTTTACGAGCTAACATGGGTGAGGCGGAATGATCAGATATGTATGTGCCCCGTTGCGTGCGCAAAAAAAAAAAAAAAAAAACACCAACCCTTGGCTGCAACTTTAATTGATTCGTTATCTGCCGCGTGGAAAAACAGAACAGACAAAAGGGAATAAAATGCCTAGCGCACACGCGGGCGCTTGCCCATTTGCCAGACCAGCTGGACACCACAATAAGTACTGCAGAGTGGAACCGCTTTTAAAATGACCTCTTGAAAAGTTCGAAGAACAATCGTATGAACGTTCAGGTGACTATTATTTTGAGGAGCAAGCCCAAGTTGGCCCGTTCACATATATGACAGATGCCCCAAGCCGGGGAGGCCCACGATTTGGGCTATCCATTCTTTCCATTTATTTCGTGTCAATTGTAAGTTTTTAAAAAAGGGGTGTCTACGCATTTGCGCGGTGGACGTAGGGGAGCTAGAGTCACCAGCGTGGGGGCATATAACGTGCACGTGCACACGTAATGCATCGTACACCTCCCCTCGGCCGCTACTTGCACGCGGTGCTAACGTGGTGCTCACCTGGTGCCAGCAATTTCGCGCAGCTCCGCTGGGACGGCATGGTTGGCCTTGTTGAGCAATTTAACCAAGTCCCTGGCAAATCGACTCTTTTGCGGCACATAGTAATCGTAGGGGAAGAACAAAACGGCCTTTCCCTTCTGCCCCGCTCTGCCCGTTCGGCCAATGCGATGAATATAATCTTCAATAGTATTGGGCAGGTCATAATTAACGACAATTGAAATATTTTTAATGTCTAGCCCTCTGGAAGCCACGTCAGTTGCAACTAAAATATTGCAACGGTCACTTCTGTAATTGTTTAGGATCCTATCTCTCTCCCGCTGTTCTTTATCTCCATGAATGGCAAGAGCGTTGTACTGATGGTAGCGAAGCTCTTTGCATAAATTGTCGCAATTCCTTTTGGTGTCACAGAAAATTAAAATTTTATTTCCTTCATAATTTTGCTTAAGCCAATCAAGTAGCTTTTTCTTCAAGTCGATGCACGAACTTACAATTACACTCTGTTGTATATTTTTATTAGCAGTTAATTCGCTTTTTCCAATTTGTACTTTTACTGGATCGAAGGATGAAAATTCATATGCCAATTTTCTGACTTGTTCAGGCCAGGTGGCTGTGAAGAATAGGAGCTGTTTGTTTTTATTAACTTGAGTCATAATTTTTTTTAATTGTTTTTCAAATCCCATGTCTAGCAGTCTGTCCGCTTCATCTATAACAACATAAATGCACCTTAACAAATGAATAACTCCATTTTCAAGTAAATCTAGTAGTCTTCCCGGGGTGGCAACAACAATGTCGGCTCCTTTCTTTAAGTTATTAATTTGTGTGTACTTGGGGACCCCTCCATATACAGCAACACTCCTGATGTCCAATTGCTTTTCGAAAGTTTTTATTTCGTCTACTACCTGCATGCACAGCTCTCTCGTGGGGAGGAGTATGAGTCCGTAGATACTTCGTTCCCCCTGATGGGCGTACCTATCGCTGCTGCGTTGTGTGTCACCGTGCGTGGCACCTTGCGTGGCTTCGTTTGTCCATTCCTGGGTGGCCTCACGAGGGACTTCCTTCTTCTCATTTTCCACCTGAGTGGACGCCTCACGGATACCCTCTTCACCCTGAACCTGCCCCCACCCATTCTCTCGCTCCGCCTGACGTTCCCTCTGCTTCAAGATATGCATAAGGCAGGGAAGGGCGAAGGCCAATGTCTTTCCGCTGCCCGTCTCGGCTACTCCTATTAGATCCTTCCCCGATAGTGCGATCGGCCACGTAACCTTCTGAATAGCTGTAGGTTCTTTAAATTTTGCATTCAGGTGGTTCACTATAGTATCATGAAAGTTCACATCGGAGAAGTTACTAGCTAAATTATTTAGCACAGCTGATTCTTTGTTCACGTAAATGTTCAATCTCTTCAATTCTGCATCTAACTGTTCAGGTGAAATGTCTGCCTTTTTTTCGCTCAAATTTTGAAGCAGATTCTGCCTCTGCACCTTTGCATCTACCTTGTTCCATTCGATTTCTTTTAGATTCTCACCAAGTTGAGCATACCTATCCTGCGTGTTTAAACTTCTCGAGTACGAAGTTCTCCTTCCATACTCATCTCCTTCCTCCTCATGGTCATACCTCGATGAGGATTCATACTTTTGTCCTCTCCCGCTGATGCCGCCATGGCTTTGTCTGTTTTTTGCTCTCTCATGATTATTAAAGGTGCCTTCCCTACGCTTGTAATTCATGAATCCATTTTCTGCATCGTCTTTTCCTCTTCCATCATGTCGATCAAACTGGGTATATTCTTCAAAGTCCTCTCCCCCTAGGGAGGGGTGATCACCCTGTTCCGTTTCACCATGGACCCCCTCTTCGTCATTGTAACTGTTTAGTAAGTCTTTGTCTGCAGAAGCGAATTGTGGAGTGGAACCCGCGACCGCACTCTTACGTACTTCTTCCTGCACAGGGGTGCCCTTCACATTACTTTCTATAAAAACCGTCCTCTTGGTCGTGTTAGGGTTTACCTGCTCGTTCTTCTTATGTTGACCTGCCAGACCGGTCCCGAATTTTGTTTTCGATCCGACATTTATGAAGAGGAATTTTTTCGAGACGAGCGGAACCCTGCCACTGGCCCGGCAACTCACGCACTTGAGCCCAAGTACGCTTTTCATGAGTGCAGCGAAGAGGATGATACAGGTGTAGAGGGTCCAAACGTGCGGGGCCCCAATTGTGCGATACTTCGTTTGTGCAGAGAGGGTACAAATGTGAAGGGGGAGATAAATAGCCCCTCAGTGTACAGGTGGCTCCTTTAATCTCCTTCGCCTTCTGTGTAGCTACTTTCTCTCCGTGTGGGCCTACACGCCGTTTCCTTTTCTCTGCACGCTTTTCACTTTTCACTTTTCACTTTGCACCCTTTACAACGTTGTGAATGGGATGTTTTGCAGAAGAGCAGCACGGACGACAACATCTAAATGGGAGAACACACGTGTAGGTGACAAGTTCACTCCTTTTAACACCTTTGCAGCGACTTACTCTCCTTTGTGCTTCTCATGTATGTACGCTTTGTGCTCTTTTAAAACAATTTTTCTTTTTTTACTACTAATACGACGGTAAGAACACCTTCGAGATGCCTTATTTGAATAAAAAAAAAAAAAAAAAAAAAAA